AAACAAAGAAAAAGTTAGCCAAGTTTACAATCTAGTTAACGATGTAGAGTTAAAGATGTATTGGACAACTCTTTCATTTGTATTGGCCAACTCTTTCATTGTTTCCAATCCTATTAGCTAACTTTTTCTTTGTTTCCAATCCAGTTAAGAACATTCTTAACTGGGTTGGAAACAAAGAAAAAGTTAGTCAATACATTGTTAACTGAATTGGAAACAATGAATGGGTTGGCCTATACAACATTAACTGGATCTACAGAAATGAGCCAAATGGTCAAACATATCAACTAAACCAAAGAAACAACTGGTGTTATACATTATTAATAGAATTTCTGACAAATAAACAGTCAGATACACTTACATCATTAATGATCCATACAATTTAATAATAAATTTGTCAAGTTGATGTGTTACTTTATTATTAGGATGCTTCTACGAAATGAAATTGTTTCATGTATTAGTGTTCAAAAATCAACATGACAACACTGCACAAGTCTTCTCTAATATATGTATGCAACATAAAGAAACCTACTTTTCTGCCAGTGATAATATCAATATTCTGTTTCAGTAACTTCACAAATCCCTCAACATGTGCATTTAGATATTAACATCACAACTTACATTTTGAAATTAAGTAACAGCATTTAACACACCTAATCATAAATATACAAGCAACATACTCGGAAAACTTGGAGTCTACTATTACAATATACATCCAAATATGTGCCCGGGACGTGAGCTCTACAAAGAAGCATTGGTCTGGTCAAATGGCCATTGTAGAAAAACACATCACCTAACCAGAAAGAAAACCTGGAATATTCAAGCTCATAAATCCACAAGAATTTGTCGTTGATAAATAAATTAGGATTAATAGCTTAAAGAAGGAAAAGCACTTGAGAGAATTAATAAAAAAAAAAAGAATAACACATCAGCATAAGATGCCTGTTAAAACTAGTCGGATTTATACTTTGTTAATTCTTCTCTCATTTATTCATTATTATGCCGTTCTTTTAAGAACTAATGGTCTCGTATCTTATTAGGTGTGAAGGTAAACTGCATTTTGCTTTCCACTGTTTGAGACTACAAATTCGATTATCTCGTTGTTAAGTTATTCTGATATTTCGCTAGGTCAGGTTTATTTTAGCTTTTATCACTAGATTCACTTCCACAGTAAAAATGTAGGAGGCAAGTTCATAATGTCATCAATGTTATGGTAACAGAGAACAAAATGCAAATATCTAAGTGTAAAGGTTTTTTTTTTTGTAAACAAGATATCTAGATGTTTTGAGAAATTTAATGGACAGCAACTGCTTATTAAAAGAAAAGGAGACGACATTACAGCTTCTACATGTACGTTTCTTCAGTATGGAAAAGGTCTTGATATAGAAGCTGAAATGTCATCTCCTTTTCTTTCCACAGGCAGTTGCAGTCCATTAAAATTCTCAAACTTACTATATCTACTCTGCCTAAAGATCCACTGAAACAAAAGTATCTAGAAGAATATCTGTTGGTCCAAACTTAAAATCAAGTCATTAAAAAAAAGTTTCAGAAGTTTTAATATTTTACTCTCACTTTTCAAATTACACAAAAATATTAATACAATTGTCCTTACTTTCTGCCAATATTTTACCTACAAAAGCTTTGAGATAATAAACTGTAAATTACTTTTTTATAATATTATAGCATTACTTGAGATAAAAATTGTGTTCTATAGTAGTTTCCCATATACAAGGTGTGTGTGGAATATCTTGGCTAACCTGCAAGGCTCATCAAAAATGTGTGAATCATAGTGAGAATGTAATGAATTAGAAATTATTCACACTAGTCTTTTACCCTAGGATGGACTCAGCTGTAAAAAGTTTTCCCAATTCTTATTACTGTCTTAACTGAGTGTTAATGTCTGTGTATCATTTTAATTTGGACTTAATCTAGTCTAATACATTCATTCAAAATATTCCACACATACTGTACTTGTGACAAATTGATCAGTCAAATTGTTTTCCAGAAATAATGATCATCAAGAAAAAAACATACCATTTTTAAAATTTACATGAAACCCTGAGTGAACTAAATAATATTTATCTTCACGTGTGTGCCTATATACACGTATGGTTCCAATAAAACTAACCTGAAATGTGGACCTAAACGTGTGATTCTTAATGAACTTTCTGACTGACTGCCAAGATTATTAACAGTTTAAAAAAAAAGCCCTAATTTAATAATATTCAGAAATAATTCCATGTAGGTATACCTGCATTAATGTAAGCGAATAAGGCTGCTTCTATTTATATATATGTAGTATTCATACAAAACTCTCCCCTCATTTTGTGTAATCATACTTTGGTTTTAGTTTTGTTCTGAAGTTACATTTTATGGAGTTAAGTGAATCACAATTTAATTCAAAACGTAATTATTTTTTCTAACAATTCATTACATGTTAACAGCAGTTTTGAAATATGAGGATATCGAAGTTTAGCTGTTTGTAACAATACCAAAACATACTTTATTTGCCACATGAAAAGAAAAAGGTACATACGTGAACGTTACCGAATCTGGATTTATTGCTTAAGAAAGTAACATTTTCAAATTCTAATCTTAAATATATTATAACTGCTACTGACACACAAGTGGTCCATGTTTTATCAAATAATAATTTTATCAATAAAAAAAGGAACATTATGTTTTAGCTGCCATAACTTGTTTACCTATTCATAATCATAGTGCTTACAAAGTACAAAGCATAAGAATTTTAAATCTGCAGTTAAGAATACCCATTAAAATTACAACATTAAAATATCAAAGAAGTATAAAACTTCAATTAGTCATATTATCAATACTCACTGATAAGAAAAACATATCAGACAGATTACAGTGCAATAAACTGATCAATATTTTCATTACATACATTGAGATACAAGAAAACTCAACCATTTACTACATTTATGAGTAGTTGAAGCTTCGTAACATTTTGCTAAATGTCTATAAGTTCACATGAAGGATTTTTAAAGTGAAGGTTATTTTATGAAAGATCTCAACTGACTTTAAATAAATGTTTAGAAAGAAATGAACAGTAAACAAGTATGCAACAACTAGTTAAACAGCATGAAAAAAAATGGCATGCCACACAAACAGAAATCAGTATACTAAATGTCTTTTATAGACATTGTTTCATACAATTCTTTCTCACCACTAAGCAGTTCGGAGAATGATGTGAATCCCAGAATCTGTGTATACTGGCTGGCTAAGTTCCCCAACCTTCAAAGCAAAAGAAGCATCTTCGAACGGTTTCTGCATTGCACCTCGACCAAAAACTCCCAAATCTCCACCTCGTTTAGCTGAGCTACAGTCACTAAACTTGGAGGCAAGTTCTTCAAACATAGCTTTCCCAGACACAATCTGTTCTCTGTAATCTACCAAAAGAGTTGTATTTTAAATAGAAACTCTACATCTATCTACGTGTGAAATTTCTCATTAACCCTTTCTACAACAGGCAGTTGCTGTCCATTTAAAACTTAGATTCTTCATGTTTTACTTTGTTGGTGTGATAGTATAAAATACTACATATTTATTTGTATCTTAACACGTTTGCTGCCGCATAATAATTATGTATAAAAAAATTAAACATTCAAGAGGTGCCAAGGAGCAGTCACAGTATCGTAAACTCAGATGCTACAAGAGAAATTTGGCTTTGAAACATAACTGTCTGTGACCCACTGGTGTGTCACGTGGTCCATAACTAAAAGTCGTTTGTGACCCACTGGTGGGGCACATGGCAGTGAACGTGTTAAAAGAAAAATTTACCTATGTATCACAACAAAACACTAATATATTTTTTCCAACACTTTCATGAGCACACGCTTCCAACGTGAGGTAAAAGCACGAAGCACACCGGTCATTCGTAAATATCATGTTGTGGCACATAGCATAAAATTTTGTTCAGAATTTCCACATAAGCACTAAATGTTCTTACAATACATGCTATATTATTGTATTTCTAATGCCTTTTAACTTGGTTCATAGAAACCCCCTCCCCATTCCTATAGACTTTAGATTGCTTATTTTGGGTCATTGGCACCTTTATCGAAATTCAGAACCTAAATTTGGTACAGCTGCTAAAAAGGTTGGCCACCCCCGGTAAAGAAAGAATCATCTCTATATTTTATCTTGACTGTCAAGAGATAACACAGTTTTGGATTTAATAGACTGTTTCTAGCAGAGTGGTAAAAAATTTTCGCTTCTATAGAAACCGAAACCTTTTCACACTCTGGAAATGGACAGGAGCAATCCATTAAAATGAAAACTCTACTATATCTATGATGCTAAAATACCCTTAAAACGACATGTCAAGAGATGAGTTTCTCTATGTTGTCTGCTGACATATAATAGTTATTTTCATATGATCAGAGCAAACAGCTTGAAACAGTCTTATAACTATCACATATGACTTAAAGTTTATTACATTATCCTAACCGAATCATAACATACCCCTTCTTAGTGAAGGCGTACAGAAGCATAAACACACATAACAAATCATTTACCATCTAAAAGTTTTATATTTCAATACTGTAGCATAACATCAATATCTCTTTGTACTATATCTGTTCAATACCTTTGATAAGTTCCAGGGCGTCATCTTTACTTCGAGTAATATTTTCCTCACGCCAAGATGATGGCCTACGAGACTCTCTGTGTTTCACCAGAAGGTGACTACAACGCACCTGCTCCAAATGATCCCCACTAGTAGGTGGAGGAGGTTCTGCTGGTTTAGTTGGTCTTTCCCATTGACTTTCTTTGGTAAACATATTCAGGTAATAAGGCTGACCTAGAAAGAATATTAATACAAAACAAAAGCATATTTGTTGTTACACTAGTATTTTTCAATTCACATATCAATTTTAATGTTACACTTTTATTTACCCAGAAATTTATGGTGGATGAAATTTTGATACAATTCGTTACTATAGCTGGGCAACATAATCAATTATTGTCATGTAAACTAATTGTTTAATTAAAATTTGTGTTTCTGATCATTTTTTTCGATTATTCCAACAATAGATTATTTGAAATTATGATTAAACCAATTATCACAAAAATAAGCAAGATGATTAGTTGAATCAAAATTAGGTTTTCCAATTATTCCAACTATCAAAGTATTTGAGATATTGCCACTAAATTTTCTTAAGCTTCTTAATTATGACATTTATTCCCAATACATTTCTTTATGCCTTTAATAAGCTGTTATTCTTTTCCTCTGGTTGTCTTAAGTTCATAGAATTTATTTTAAAATTCTTCCCAAATATGTCCTACTTCATCTTTTTAACTATGATAAATTTTGTCACATGGCCTAAAATTGACTTTCCTAAAATTAGGAACTAAAATTGAATTCAATCTCAGCATCAAACCTGAAAAATTTCTCCTCAAATATTCACCCTACTTCAACTCTTACAATGATATCCTCATTAGCAATTAACGATAAATCTAAAAATGTTACTCTCCCTCATTGACCATTTAGTGTAGAAAACCATCCTGAAACAATTAAAGAAACCTCTACCCCTCACTACAATTTTAATCTGTCTGATGAGCATACCATAATAATTGCATTGACAGCCTTATTTGTAACAACCCTGATACCACAATACATATTTTCATAAACATCTCAGTACTACAGATATGTATCCATGATCAGAAAATATGCATTTTTTTTATAAAAATGTATTAAAAATAAATATTTTCCATAACAAATAATTTCATAAACATCTCAGTACTAAAGATATGTATCCATGATCAGAAAATATGCATTTTTTTTATAAAAATGTATTAAAAATAAAGATTTTCCATAACAAATAAGCATAGTAATCACTAGTACATACAGCATATCCTTCACTATACAAGTATTCATCAGTTCAAAAGAAAAACCTGTATCAGCCATCCCTATATTTACTTCCTTTTTTTTAAGTTATTTTTCTTTACTTGTTTTTTTTTCATGCAGTGTTTCAATAAACATAGGAAGGTTGTCTTTATAACCAAGTTCTAAATACAATGAGGTTCCAACTGTAATATTTATTGTTTATCTCTTACTGGCTGGTTATTTCTGTTTCACCCTGTACTTAAGCTTTTTAAATGAACATCAAATTTATGTAAGGAAGCTATCTTCAAGGGTTACTGATAACATCATTTACACTAGAATTATGATTTTTTTAATTACTACTAGCTATTAATAATACTTATAAAAGCAGATACTCAATTTGAAACTGTCACCTCAGTGAATTTGGTTGACACCACTGTTTTGTGTTTTGAGTAAACATGTAATAAAAAAGAAGAACAAGAAATGCAAACTTTTTGCTATAAGTATGATATTTACAGACATTCTCTTGTAAAACTAAAAAGAACCACTGTATGGTATTGTAAAGTTCTGATGACCTATTGAGGTGATATTTAAAATACCATTTCAGTGAACAATCCAAGCCATCCCCTTGATGGGCAGTGCTACCAGTGACTACCACCTCCCTAATAATATGAATAACTAGTTTTAATGCCTACTAAATCATTACAAGAAAATAAAAATTTTCCTGTTAATAAACATTATTAATATTTTATTCTATAACCCCCTCTAATTTCAATTCCTGGGAAAAACACTGTCTACATTACGTACTATAATAATGATGATTGGTATACTGGCTAACGTTACCAATTAATTAAACCTTCATAAGTACTAGTACTACTACTAGTGGTAACAGTATATTGAAAAAATGTCATATACTGTAGCCTAGGTTTTTACGACTGTGAACTGACATCAGTACTAAAGTAAAGCAATGCTATTAGCCTTACTAATACACAAATAGTATACTAATACTAAGCAATAGTAATACTATTAGTAATATTTCTAATAGTAATACTAATAGTATTAATATTATTAGTTTTAATATATTAATTATTATTTACTACTAGTATTATTACTAATAAATAATTAATATATAATACAAATAATAATTTAGTCTACATTGTCCTACTTCAATATTATTTAAGAACAGACGGCTTGTAGTCACAAGTCAGTGGGATTGTTTATAACTAATAATAACAATATTCATGGATAAAATACTTTAACACTACCTGTCGAACGGCTCATCCGTTTCTCCCATCCTTTAGGTAATTCTTCGTCCGCCATTTTCATCAGATATGCCGTATTATCCAACACTGCCCTCTACAAAAAAAAAAAACAATTCAATTGTGACTTAATTATTGAAATATGCGTATGTTATGATAACAAATAATATCATAAAGCTTTTACTAACACCATTACGCACATTTTGTTATTCGCTATCATAAGCACATCTATCCTGTGTAATGTTTATAAGAAAAGTATAATAACTGAGTTTTACATTTATTTTGATGTATTTTGGAGCTGAAATGTTAGATTTTGATATATGAAGCCGTTTAAGAAATATAACAATTATCAATTATTATTTTATTACAAGTTATAAAGTTCTTTTATAAAGAAGAATATTTTAAAAACAGGTACGACCCTTCGGTCACTAGCGTGATCATTCTCTAGTGCACAAGTTTAACGTTAAAAAAGCGTTAAAACTTGTGTATCCGAGAATGACTGCACCAGTAATCGAAACGTCGTACCTGTTTTTAAAATATTATTTCTTACTGTAGTAGCTGTAACTTGTAATAAAATAACACTTATAATCAGTAAGTAAACTAAAACGAAAATATTAACTAGATGTACTTCCGCAGGATCCCCGAAAGTGTTCTGTTTTAAGAGTAAATAAAACCCAAGTTAAGAGTAACAAATATTTTTATTTCTTGCTTTTGAAGTTCATATGTTATGCAGTGTTATAGCCTACAGAGTGCATAATTCTTCTCGTGATTTATGGCATACATACGTTTTACTGTCTATTAAGTGACTAACAAACAACACATTACTCTACAATAGTGCGAGTGGTTAAAACATGTAAACCCTCCAGGCGGCGTTCGGTTTCCTTTCGGGGACATTATTCATTATGCTTCCTGGATGCTCAGCGGCAGGTCTGGGGGTTTATAACGCTAAAAAACGGGTTTTGATACCCTCGGCTGGAAGACCACAGTTAGGTCATTGTGGATCTTTGCGCTTAAAAACTTACTCATTATTCGATATTTATGTATACATAATTCATCTATGGAACTTTTGTGTTTAAACGTCTTAAGCTAATTATATATAACAAATGTGACTAAGAAACTTAGATAGTATTGTAAACTATATTTGTTTGTTTGCTAGTGAGAGTTGCGGGTCTTAATGATGACGTTAAAACTGAAAACTATAATAATGTAGGCATAGAACACCTAGAAAGTTCTAAAACATTTGATGTCGGAATTTCTAGTAAATTCGAGAGTATATTATAAATACAGGGTTTAGTAATGCATCAAGAAACTAGTTGCAAAGATTTTAGAGTTGTTTCAAGATAGTAGAGCCGTTTCTAGTCATTAGAGTAGATCATTCAGCGTTTATTGTTTGTTTGTTTTTCGTTTTATCCATAATGTAATACAAGCAGGGGTGATATTCTGCCGGTACTCACTGGTACTGAGATCGGGACTTATTTGAACTGTTTTGTCGTTTTTTATGTTTACACGTAGATTAAAAAAAAAAAACAGGTCCACTTCTCCCAACTGAGTAATTCTACTTTTTTTTTAATTTAACCCCTGAGTACAAGTGAACTTATTCTTTATGTTAGTGTAGTGCATTTAGCATCATTTGTAAACAATGCATACAAGTTCGACAGTTCTAAAGCTGGTAAAAACGTTAAGGAAAAAATAATAAAGTAATTTGTTATCATTTAAGTGACTTGGACTTTGAATTATCTTCCCCAGATGATTTAAAAGAGCTCACCAATGAACGAACAATGTTACAACAACATGTTAATTTCATTAAATCCTATGATAATTACCAAAAGTTACTTTTGACTCTAGTTCTGCGAAAAAGAGATTTTTGTGCTCCTTGAAGTTCAAACCTAGCCAATTATATAGCTGCATAACAACTAGAATATTAATAGTAGTAATTATAAAGGTAATGCGAACCCAAATGTTGTGTTTACAGTTGGAGTCTGTATTACGTGTTTAATGTTTATCAATGAAATATAAACAAATTAATCAGTACCATTTCATAGAGTCTTTTGTCTCTCCTTGTTCAGCCTAACTGATGATTTTTGGCATTGAATGAAAGTTTTTGGACAGCAGATAGGGCAGAGTTTCAATATGAAATAAACAATGGATTAACATCCAAGTATACATTATCAGACTGACAAGATTAAGTTGTCAAGGTTAGCTATATAATATGTATTTTTGTCATAAGTTGGCCTATGTAAACTGATGAGCAATTTATAGTATACAAGTTTGCTTACGTTGTTCTTGTGCTATTCTGAGTTGTTTAAAAATGCCTCACTAGAAATTGCTAGGAAGTTAACTCATTAGTTCAGTTAGTATAGCATTCACTCATAGTGCAGAAGATCCCATATTTAAATCCTGCATGCGAGAAATGGAAAAATTGAAATGAATACAAGAAAAACTGGTGCACAACTAATGATCGAACCACAACCCCAAGATAAGACTCAAGGACATGCCTTGTTTGTGAGAGGATAGAGGAATAATGTGGTAGATTGAATTGTTAGAAAAATACCTCACTATGAATTACTAGTGGGTTAGCCCATTAATTCAGATAGTAGAACATTCATTTGCAATGAGTCTGGTTTCAAATCCTGTAAGGAGAAAAGTAAAAATTGAAATTACCGCACTCATTTAGCTGAGACATAATATTCATTCTTGCTTGATTCATTGTAGCGAACGTTTATGTGCTGTAATACTCAACAACGTCAATTTTCTGATATAACTAATTCAACTAGTAAATGTAGCCCAGTCCATGTACTTACTAAAAATTCCGATTAATGAAGCATTCCTGATTTGAAGTGACACAAGGAAATCAATATCCGAATTTTCATTTTTAATCCATCCTGATTTTTAAAATGAAAATTGTATTTACAATATTTAACTTCCTCAAATTTAAATTTATGATGGATCAACCAAAATTATGCTGTTTATTAAAAGCATTTTTTTTCTTTTATTGTTGTTTCAGAGCAGCTTCTTTAACAGGTATTAAGCTTTGCATCTACGTTAGATCAATGTTTAGTTATACTGCTTTACAAAATCATGTCATCAAATTGTCTACCTCTTATAGATGTTTTTGGATTAAGAATATTTGAAAATACTTTGAATTATCAGATTTACAAGTAATTGAAAGTGTAAAAAGAGGGGTCAACTTATTTGTCTTGAAAAGTTTCTGAATTAAACAGCAATAAAAAAGTAATTGAACACATGTCCACATAAGCGGTTGCTTAAAAACAACGTTAAAGTTAAAGGTAAACTGAACTTTGTGTGTGTTATGAAAAAATCACTTATGAAATATAAGAATACTTGAAACATTCGATTTTGAGTTATCAATGGTGATATAAATTTTAACAATTAACTCAGTTGAATATTGAGTACATTACATTTTAATCCTTATGTCGCCTCACCATCGTTACAGTCAATGTCACTTTGTCCAATCATGCTCTATCTGATGACCGTGAACTTGACAATAACCCTGTAGCATAGTTTTTACTGTAAAAACCTTCGTTTTAAAGTTGTTATGTCCAAAGAATATCATTTTATCCTGCATGGTTTCTATAGATCATCTATTGTATGGGGATAATGGTTCCTAGTGCCCATTTCAATAGTCCAATTGTATAGAAATCCTTAGATGCTGCATCTGGTGACATGAAAAGTACGTTTTTATATGGAATAGCATGAAACACGTTTCACTCTCCAGCTGCTTGAGGAATGCAATGATTGATCGGGTTTATTTTGGTGATTCTATAACACGATGGGCTCGTTTCTAGATGAAGACACTTTTTGAATGTATTATATATTGTTGCCTGGAACAGTGGACGGCTTCTGACATTAACCTACAGGTTCATTAATTTTCATATCTTACATGACGATGCACTTTACTTACTATGTGTGGGTTAAGACATGTTACAAGTCTGTTTTTGAATGGTCGTGGTTCCCCAAGTTGATACAAATGTTTATGTTTTCCAACATTATTAAGTACAAAGGATATTCCACTTCATCATCCTATCAAAATTAATATACCAACAATCAATAACACGTCCTTATTCATAAAAATGTTGCGAATGTTTGGTCTGTGTAAACAATTTATGATTTTTGTTGATATTGGGACGTCTATGCACAAAGCAGTAAAATAGTATAGGATATTTTCAAATATTTACATGTGCACAGGAGTTTCGGTTACCAGATATGATTCATCTTGGTCGATGCAGAGACTTATGTATCCACACAGTGTATGATACATTACAAGGAGAGAAAATTCTAACCGTAAAATCTTTGGCAACTAACACATATACATTTATATATATCTAATTGAAGATTTTCTGTGCAGGCTGTCCAATTTGATTTATAATTACTATCTAATAATAGTAAACTATACTGTAAGAGCTATACTGTAAGTCGTGTTTTGCATTTATGATCAAGTTATTAAGGCTAACTGCTGCCGATTTTAATTTTGACCTACTGACCACCAGCATCCTATCATCCATGCTAAGGGATTGACTGCCATTTTTATTATGCACTCACAGATTAAAGTGCAGGGAATATTTTATGGTATCGCATTAATTCGAAGCCAGTTTACCAGCTCCGACATCCAGAGCTCTACCATCTACCATAGGACCAGCCTGCACCCTTCTTAGTGAGAGGCTTACTCAAGTTATTGTTATTAATATTGATTTGTTTTTGTGTTGTTTTTTTTCATGAGTTTATTCTTTTATTAACTATATGTGATATGTGCACCATAAGGAATCTAACACCGGATTTTAGCATTGTAAATCTGTAAACTTACCTGTTATTCACCGAGAAACTCTTTTAAACAAGAGAGTGAGAAAATTCCCCGTGTGAAATATAAGTGAAAATCCATGTCGAATCCATTTATCATGGATCAAAGGATAAATGTGATCCTACATTTTTCTGGAAAATAAATGTAATTAAATGGCAATGCTTGTTTGTACGATAAATCTCACAATCTATAGATAGGATTTTATAACATTGTACACATATAGATATTATAGGCATGTCGGATGGGCGTACCTTAATGGATAGGGTGCTGGGCTGGGCGTCAGACAGTCCAAGATTCAACCAATGGTATGCTACTGAACACACTCCACTCTTTCAGTTATAGGGGCTTTATAACCTTAACATGTGCTACTGACTGTCTTCCTTCCTTCTGACAAACAGTTTTAAATTATGAATGGCTTTTCCTTAACTCTGAGAGTCTCTGGATGACCGTATCCCATGTGTTACATAAGATACTGTTCAGGTTGAAAATATCAGTATCAATTATGCAAACACAATTTAGTGGGCCCGGCATGGCCAGGTGGTTAGGGCGCTCGACTCGTAATCTACGGGTCGCGGGTTCGAATCCTCGTCACACCAAAAATGCTCGCCCTTTCAGCCGTGGGGGCGTTATAACGTGACGGTCAATCCCACTATTCGTTGGTAAAAGAGTAGCCCAAGAGTTGGCGGTGGGTGGTGATGACTAGCTGCCTTCTCTCTAGTCTTACACTGCTAAATTAGGAACGGCTAGCGCAGATAGCCCTCGTGCAGATTTGCGCAAAATTCATAACAAACCAAACCTAACAAACCAATTTAGTGTGTTGATCTACATGATGCAATTAACAGCATTAACCTTCTCCTTATTTGTACAAGTCTCTTCACGTATCCAAATGAAAAACAAAATTAGCTACCTGTCCATATTTCTCACGCAAAGTAACATACTTTTTTTAATTATAATAAATTGACCCTCCAAATATGATTTACTGTCATTTTTCTCCTGTGTAAATGTAATTTGAAATACCAAAGTTTGTTTTTAGAACATTATACAAATTGTTTTACTGAACGTGTTGTGTCCGCTATGTTTTACATTATCATATTGATGGGTGTTTAAATCTGTCACTAACGAAAAACTGAAAACTTTCACAATCGGTTTATTTTATTTTAAACTGCATATAGAACCATGGCCCGGCATAACCAGGTGGTTAGGGCGCTCGACTCGCAATCTGAGTCACACCAAACATGCTCGCCCTTTCAGCCGTGAGAGCGTTATAATGTGACGGTCAATCCCACTATTCGTTGGTAAGAGTAGCCCAAGAGTGGGCGGTGGGTGGTGATGACTAGGTGCCTTCCCTCTAGTCTTACACTGCTAAATTAGGGACGGCTAGCGCAGATAGCCCTCGTGTAGCTTTGCGCGAAATTCAAAAACAAAAACAAACAATATAGAACCATAACTAAAGTTGAAATGTATTTTTTCGAGTTTCTGGTGAAAATGATTAAAGTTTGAAGTTATATAAAAAGACAAACTAACAAATATTGTAAATTCTCTAGAGGTCCATATTTACCTTTTACACTAATCTCATATTGTTATGAGAATGATCCGTATCAGATGTGTGATAATATCACTCAAGTTGAAAATCCATACAATCGTAGCGAGTTTCCTTTCAGGTTGTTAACACGTTTTGAAATTTTCAACTTTTGAATGGTGAGCTCGTTTGTTTTTGGTTTATGGCAAAGCTACTAAGCCTACCTGTTACCGACCAGAGAAAAGGCAACCGATTAGCAGGACCTAACGCCAACCAGTGTTTCCTCTAAGATGTGCTGTCGCACAACAACAAATCAAGTGCCGTGCACATCCTCAGTAATGGTAAAGAGTCTCAACACGTTGACGGCCTTAATGACCCTGACAGTCGATAGGCCTAAAGCCCAAATAACTGACTGGTAGCATTGAAAAGCGGCCTAATGATCCAATATGGTCGATGGTTTGAAAATATCCCCCTCCCTAAACAAAAAAAAAAAAAAATTGGAAGCGCACATCCGCACAGTGCCTTGATACTGGTGCACATGAAAATATTCATTCCGCACACGGATTGAAAAAATTAGAGGGAACACTGAAGCCAAATATTTTACCAACGAATAGTGGAATTGCTTGTCAAATTATAACTCCTACGGCTGAAAGGGCGAACACGTTTGACGCCGGGTTTCGACCTCGTGCCCCGTACATTGCTAAATGAATGTCCTAACCACCAGGTTATGTTGGGCTTGAATTGATGTCATTGGGGTGAGAAGAACCAGCGGTTTATGGGTTCTGCCTAAAGATTGACTTTCCTAAGGAAATCTACTTTATTCCGTTTTCATTTCAATTCGTTCCCTTGTTGGACAGCGTTAAGTTTACGAACTTACAACGATAAAATCTTGGGCTCGATTCCTCGCAGTGGACACAGCAGATAGCCCAATAAGGCTTTACTCTGAAACAAACACAGAATCATTTCAACTCATCCTTTGAATTACATCATAATTTATATTGCGATTACGTTACTTTATATCCTGGTTATCTGCCAAGCAAAATCTTAAAAAGAATTAGATAAGTGAAACATTTCCTCGTGTTTTCCATAATATTGCTTTTGCGTTTATTATTTACGCTAGTCTATTATACAAAGACGAAAAACTGTCAGTCTGCCACGCCGATACCTTGTTGGGCATATAATTAGATTTTAGGGTAGATTGATAGAGATCGTGATGAGTAATAATATCGAATCGGGTATACGCGTGTCCCACACTTGGTATTTGCTGGCGCTCAAAAATCACAATCATTGGCTGAAATTCCCAATTTGCTTGGTTGTCAAGGAGACACACTGACGCAACATAACCAAATTTTGTCCGATCGGAACCTTTGGCTACAACTTTATAATGACCTGCATGTTTTACCCGCAGCACATTTTAATTTTGAAAATGCCCAAATTAAAGTGCGCTTCTTCAGCTCACCAGGCTAACAAAGCCAAAACCATTAAGACAGTCGAAAGAGAAGACCCAAAAATTCATAATAAAATTCACTGTCTTTACCATCACAACTAATAATTTGCAGCGTCGTACAGTTGATCAAGTAGGAATGTCTGAGAAACAGTTTCGACCCCGCGACCCGCAAATTGCGAGTCGAGCGCCCTAACCACCTAGCCATGCCGGGTCACTGGAAGCAAAGAGCGCCATTATTCATTTTATTTCTTATCAATAAAAACCCAACACAAAATTGAACTTCATTCTTAAACTTGGTTACTTTGCATATAGTATAACACCCATTAAAAAAAAAACAAGTTTTTTGAGTTAGTGTAAAAAACCCATTAAAAACAAGGTTTTTGTTGTTGTTTGTGATTTTTTTTTTTATAAGAAAAATACTTAAAGGGTATTATTTCAAACCTTTAGTTTACTATTTGAAATATAAATATGTATTTTTTTTTTTTTATGTACATTTAATCGATCAACAATTCCAATTAGTTCAGTTTTTGACATCCAACGTTTTTTAACACTAACGTAAGGTAATATTATCAAATTAAAACTTCATATTCAAATGCCCCTCGGCGGTACAGCGGTAAGTTAACGAACTTATAACGCTACAATACAGAGTTCAATTCCCATTGCTGAACAGAGCAGATAACCCAACGTGGATTTATTTTAAGAAAAAGATTATACACCAAAGAAAGTTAAAGTTGTTTACCTTCTTTAAATCGCAATTTAATCAATTTTTCGACACAAAAACCATGAAACTTTCTAGACATTGTATTGTCTTGTGTTCATATCCTTTTCTTTTTCCTTTTCATGGAAAATTATGTTGATATTATTACATTATATTTTCTCATCTTTGTCACATCTAAAAAATAAAGATTTTATTGATACATTCAAACTTATAACAGACAACTCAATCATATGACAAAATGTCTCTTATTTATGAAGAAATCAAAACGTAATAACAGAGACAAAATGTTTAAATTTGGTGACAAACAAATGTATCTATGCACGTCTATTGATAATCCTTGTAATCAAAGCAGAGGAGTTTTCTATCCACCCTTTCTTGTTAATTTTTGATGAAACGAAACGAAGATAAATCGGGAAATCTACCAGTCTAATGAAGTTTCTCTCACTTGCTGTAAAGTTGGGCTGTTTTCTGAGTAGAACTGCCAATACCAACGTCTGTGTCTGGATATTAGCTTGTCCTCCTTCACAAGAATGGGGTTTTTGATATACTTTTTATTATTCCAAATCATGATATCTCTTTCCAACTAGAGAAGAAACAGAAAGCACTCCGTGTGAATTATGAACCATAAAGATAAATGATAACCCCTATTCTAGATCAGTGTTTCCGCTTAATGGGAGCCGCAAAAAAAAAGGCCGAAAACAAAGATGCTGAATTAATTTCAATTCTAAATAAATTATAAGCCGATAAAAATCTTGAATTAATTAAATGGCAGTATGGTGAAAGGAGATGTTATTGTTTTTACTATGGCACTGTTTTTCCAATCACCATGCTACAGTTATAGGTTGGGAGGCTTAAACTTTTATTCACATCAAGGGAAACTCAGACTAAAAAACTTTGGGAACCACTGTTCTAGATGAAACGTATTATCACATAACCCACATCGAACATTTTGTTAAGTACATTATTTCTTAAGTTGTTTTTGACAATTCAATGATGTTTAAGTTCTCATTAATTGTTTTTCAGCTTTATTTAAAATTAAGTTTTTTTTTGTTTAGAATTTCATGCAAAGCTACACAACGGCTACCCGCGCATGGGCGTCCATAATTTTCGACTAATATAGACTAGAGGAAAGGCAACTAGCCAGCAGCACCCACTACCAATTATTGGACTGCTCCTGTATAATCGAATAATGGGATTTGAGTGGAACTCTTATAGAACACCCCTGGCCTCAATGCGCGGAGGGCGTTTTCTGTGGCCCTAACACTTCGGATTCACATTCCAGCCAGACATGCTTACCACTAGGCCACGTACGGCTCTTAAAGTTAAGATTGAATAAACTTTCATATTTCGAAACGGTGTATTTAAGTGTTTTACACTCACAAAAAAAGGAACCTATCATTGTGTAGGTATTTGAAGAACTTGTAGCATTTCACCACAATTTAATTCTTCGTATTCAAACTTTCATGTTTGTTTTAAGAAAGCATTTGACACAGAAGATGAATAAATAATTGCCATAATTACATTTGATGTCGAAATTGCACTTTAATACGTGTTGTATACAACTGTTGTGCGGTCTTTAAACTTTGGGGGGGAACTTTACAACACTAGAATTCGAGGTTCGATCTCCGCGGCGAATACGGCGCAGATAGCTCGTTGTGTAGTTTTTGCAATGAAACAAAAATAAACAAAACTTACCATGCAGGCTTCGCTAAGAAGCAAAAGATTTGCAATAACCTGAGGAAACGATGAAGGAGCGTAAAGCTGATGGACCAATCGCTGCTTTAAAGGGCCCTCTGGCGTGATACCTTGGACAAAGACTCCTGACCCAAACTTGCTCTTAAAAACTAGATGCACGATGGCCGGTCCAATCTACAGGGTTATTTATATGCTTGAAGTCAGAATCGAACAATATCACGTATATTTGATGTAATCTTACAATTACAAGTCTATTTTTTGCAGATAGACGGAGAAATATATATGAGAGAGAGAGAGAGAGATTGCAATAAACAATTAACAGTGAAGTGACGAGTTTATTGTTGAATTTTAGAACATTAAAAAAGATACAACTCATATATAGAACTGAAACATTAGTTTGTTATTTAGTAATGATTTCATACGAAATAAAAATATAGTTTATGGTACAAAACAATAGGTTTAAGTATCTGACATTAGGTTTGTTTGTTTTTATCACCCATAAGAATAGTTATAGGTTAATAATATAAGGAAAAACATAACACAATCGGAATTCGATAAAAAAAAAAAACAATTTTTCTATGCTCGAATGTTTAATAAAATATAATTATCATTTATTTCGTCTTTTGTTACCTGTTTAATATTTAGGTTTAACTCAGAAAAAGGCAAGGCATGGCCAAAGACTCTGGTAACATGGGTGAGAGAAATAGAAGCCATGTGATTGTTGGGTGCAGGGTCAGGTTCCCACTGTGGTTTCCAATCGTGTTTACAGAACTCCCAAAAACGATTGTTGGTAAAACGTAGGTCGGAGCCTGAAAAAACTGAATCGTAGTGTAGATGTCCGAGATGTGCAGCATCAGCTCCATTTTCGGGAATTTCCTTTTATGTCAAAAAACAAAACAAAAAACAAGACAAATTAGCACCCCAAAATTTCATCTTTCTAATACTTTTATTACCATACTTAAATTTTACTTTTAACTTAAAATAAGTTTGGTTTTGTTGGTTGGTTTGGGGCAAAGTCACATTGGGCTATCTGCTGTACACCGTGGGGAATCGAATCTCGAATTTTAGCTTTGTAAGTCCATAATCTTACCACTGACTCACCAGGGTACCTTAAGATACGACTAATGGTTTTTCCTGCTTTTTTTTTTATCGGTATTAAGTTTTTTAAAATATAAGCATCAAAACAAATTAGTGCCATAAAGTGTTATCCATTTGGTAAGTTTTGTTCCCATACACACAGTTTACTATAGAAAACTAATTATTTTTAAACACTTGAATACAGAGGCGTAGCCAAGGGGGCTCGGCCCCCCTGAAAATCTAGGCATATTGATCAAATATTATTTTCGAGCTTTTATATATATAATAAATTCGTTTTTGTATCATTTAATAAAAAATAAATAAAACTTTTATAAACACTATTACATTTGATTTAATTACCATTTTATTAGAAATTTAGATCAATTTCAGATTTTAAATTTATTGCCCCCCTAGATAAATTAATCTTCATTTTGTTCAAAGTGATCGTGTTAAAACAAGCTAGATCAGATAATGCGAGCACCATAAGTGTTGACCAAGATCAAGTTTCAAAACTACTTTCATTAACGATCTTATTTCTTTTCGTTAACAACTTGTTGCAATTGTAGTAATTTTTAGTAAACACATTGAGTCGACTACAAGAATATCACTAAGTTATCGATCTTATAACGTTTGCAAATGTCAGTTTACCTAACTAAGGTGCAAAAGCTTGTTATTTGTAATAGGTTTAAATCTCTCTAAACATTTTTTTAAATTCTTATGTCTAATAGTACTGATCTTGTAAGCTGTTTTCCGTGTATAACGTTTACTTTGTTTAGTGGTGAAAAAATTTTTTGATACATTTCCTTATGAATTGTATAGATGTAAAACCTGTCGTGTGGCTTCGTTAATAATAACATCGCAGAGTTTCAAAATTTTGACAAACCAGAGTGACCAGATTCAGGGACACATCTAAAGATGTTTAGCTATCACACACGCACTCGTTTTAATTACAGCGAGTCTTACCCAAAATGTCAACAGAAACAAAATTATCTATGGGAGAAATTTCAGAACACAATTTGTAGAATTTACTTGAATCAAACATAACGGGCAGTTGAGCCATTTCGATAAAAGCGTGTAGGCACGTATACTTTTTTGTGTTATTTTAATCTATATATCAAACTAGAATCACAAATACCTTATATAAAGGATGTCGATTAACTATTTTTTTACGAACTGTTTCAACTGCCAGCTACTTACAAGTTGTGTAAAGTTTCAGGTGTGGTAAAGATGCACTTTGCCATATTACCCAACTCGGATGGGTAATACAGATTATTAACTATATGGTTGCAAAGTTCATTAATCCTAATTGAACCAACTGAGACAAACACTTTAAAAACATCAAGATTGGTATCATGCAACAGGGCAGAGGTGGACTGGTTATTCATAAAGCATGCCAATCTTTGATAAAGGAAATACAGTTCTATGTAGATATGATACCCAAACAACAATTTTAGCAAGAATATCTGGAGTGTTTTAAGATCTCAATTAGTTGATGCACACAAGTTCACATATGAACAGCTAAGAAGGACTGACATACAGCAGAATATATGTTTTGATAAAACAGTAAAGGAATGAATGTCCCAGCATGGAAAACCTGGTAGGACTTTGTTATGTTCCAATGATACAGTAGCAATATGGCTGTGACTGGACAGGTCCTCAACAATGTACAGTCCATTAATATCACAAGCTGCTCCCATTTTCATAATTTTGCAACATTATGCTCTGAAATGTGCCTCTGTTAATAATAAATAATTTCAATAAAAATCGTATTTCCTGCCTCTCCTAGCTACAGGCCAATAATTCATAGCATTATATTTAAGTTTGATGTCTCATCTGGCTGCATCAATATAAATTATGTATGCAGAAATTATGCGGCACCCACTAAGTGACCACACCTCCTATCCAAAACCCTAAATCTGCTACTGTCTAACATATTAGTTATAGTAGTGATATCGAGCACATTGAGCATGTTGACTAAGTAAGACCACAGTTGCTGATGAGATTCTCATGCATTCATTCACTGACTAGACCAGAAATCAAGTGTTGAGACTGACAAGAGAGAGGATAGTAAGAGAACCGTTTTGATCAGCTGATCATCAGAAAGATGAAGAAACAACTTATCTTAATGAGACACATGAGGATGTGCCTGGAGAGAGGCATGAGACAGTCCTACTGGTCAGCTGAGATGCCAACAATAATCTCCTGATTGATATATTTGAAATTACCTAACAGACTAGCATTAGGACAGTCACTTGATAGTTCAATCAGTAATTTAAAGAAGTGGTATTCCTTGGTTTCTCTGCTATATTTTATAATTACCACTTGGCTGTTAAAAAGGTAGGATAATTTTTTGCTTGCAAGATTAACTGGACAAAAAGGGCATTAGTACCCTAACTTTAAGCTATCGAGTGATTTTTTAAGACAAAACATTCGTCCGACAAGTGGTAGCAAAATTTATGTGGAGGAGACAATAGGGTGCTCACCAGATATCTACAGCACACACACAAGTGTGTATATTACTTCTCCATTGCATGGTGCAGTGAGGGCATTGTACTATTTTCCAGCACGGAATGTAGATCAAGTTGTTATAAATTTAAATGAAAATGTCCTTCTTTCGTAATTTTGGTTGTATTTATTTTTTTGTGATGCCAACTACAGAGAATGGATTGACTCACTCATAGTTCAGCTTCTGGTTTTGGCAGCCATCTAAAACATTTAAGTGTACTTTTGTTATGTAATTCTGTATTTGGCCTAGGTTGGTTTGAATGTGTGTTGATATGTACAGTAGATAGCAAGAATAGTAATCCTGGCTTAAATAATTTTTTTCGCTGAAAAGCCTTAGTTTGCTGAATTCTGCAGGTGATTATTTTTTCACGATAGCAAAAAACATGTTGAATATAGTTGCTCATAGATGGCAGCACGTTACAATACCACAGCGCATTCATGAGTATTGTATATAGCACAAGTGAATTAATTACTTAGAGAACACACCATCAAGCAACATAATAATGAAAATAAAGGTTTTAATCTGAATGTTAAGACTCTGAGATACAAAATAAATGTGATTCCCGATCTACCTGAAAATTTCCTTAATGCTAGTAAGAAAATGTTAAAAGTTTTAACACTGAAATATTTAACAGTGGTGGATGTTCATTGAATACATAAGAGTAATGAGTAAGCTCACACTACGTTTGAGGAAAAGCAAATTTGACCTGGTGTTTTTAGTGATAAAAATGAAAAATATTTTCGATTAAAAAAATGGAAATACTTATGAGTGGGTAAAGTTATCTATAAAAGTGAAATCCACAAACAGTAGCTCATGTATAATACCAAATGTATATTTGGTGTACCCAGTGTTTTGTTTGGTTATGAATGAATATTTTCAAGCATGCGGATTGAAATATTTTATAAGCATCCAGTTTTACTGAACATTTTCTTAACAGAAAGTACCACCCACGTGGTGCCAAGCGTAGCTTAGTGATTATCGTACTGGACTACAGCTTTATTAGTGTTTTGATACCACAAAAAAAAAAAAAAAATCACGCTCCTCACTTTGGAGCCGATCAGACAAGAGTAGCCCAAGAGCGGTGGGTTCTCTTGACTACATATCTTCTCTGGCCCGGCATGGCCAGGTGGTTAAGGCGCTCGACTCGCAACCTGAGGGTCGCGGGTTCGAATCCCCGTCGCACCAAACATGCTCGCCCTTTCAGCCGTGAGGGCGTTATAATGTGACGGTCAATCCCATTATTCGTTGGTAAAAGAGTAGCCCAAGAGTTGGCGGTGGGTGGATGACTAGCTGCCTTCCCTCTAGTCTTACACTGCTAAATTAGGGACGGCTAACGCACATAGCCCTTGTGTAGTTTTGCGCGAAATTCCAAAACAAACAAACAAACAAACTTATCTTCTCTCTAGTCTATCATTTCAAAATTAGGGACGGCTAGTGCAGGCAGCCCTCGAGGTGTTTAGCACGAATATCCGAAAACAATTCAACCATATTGATCAATCTTAAATAAGAGACATAAAACTTAAATTTTATTTTATTTACTCCGGTAATCTTCAAAAACGGGTTGCTCCTGATACGCAATAACACGAGTAGTATTAAGTTTATAATATGTTTCAAGATTTATGATGTTATTGTTGTTTTAGCACAAAGCTACACAATGGGCTGTTTGTGCTATGTCCAACAAGGGAATCTAAACTCGTATTTTAGCGTTGTGAGTCCGTAAACGTAACGCTAACCCACCGAGGGCCACTCCTGATGCTTGTAATGCTAATATTTCACTCAGTTTCCCACATTTTATCGCTAAAAATTATATAAACGCTGATAAGAAAGTTGATTTCACACATGTAGTTAAGGTTGTGTTTTTTTACTGAACTTAGTTTGTCATCCTTACGTTTTGTTTTTTTATTTAAGGTGCAATTCATCGTTAAGGCGTAAGTCAAGGTGTTTACTTGTAAATATTTGTATATTTACGCAATCCACAAAATTGTATGACTCAGGTTTGAAATGTACATGTCAGCTCTGCTTCAGTTATAGGTAGATTATGATTAGGTTAGATAAGAAAATTAAATACCGCGTGTCGGCCCTGGTCGAGTTAGCTGAGATTATATTATTTAAGACTAGCAGAGACTCGCAAAACATTCGCGGCCAAATTAGTATCTTTATTTCAACAGTACTTCTTTAAATACGGGATTTCTAGAATAATACACAACAATTCTAAATGCAGACACCAAAATCTATAAGTCAACTTGTCTTAGGCCTAGCATCAATTACGATAAAGATATAAATTAACACTGTAATTTGTGTAGATTTTTTGCTATTTAGTTTGGGCTATATTTTACTGTAGTACTAATAAACAAGCTTATAATATTATTCTACGACCTAACTTCAGACCTTTTTTAGAAACTTTGATAAACTTATATAACGTTATTGTACAAAATGTCTACTAAAGTATATTTACATCCATCCATTATTTAGATCCGTTAAAATGAAGTGCGCGTGCATTTTCATGACGGACAAAAACTGAGTATTTCCTTTTTATAATAAATAGATGGTAAGTTCTTCATGTCAGATGTGGTTAAAAAAAGGTTTATTTATTTCAGATTTTTGTGTAAAGTTAATTAAGAGGCTATCTGTGCAAAGTTGCCCTTAGTTGTGAACTGATAATTAGTTAATCAACAGCATTCACAGCAAACTTTTCTGATTGATTAGTGGAAATTGACATTTACCGTCATAGTACATCAACGTCCCCAAGAGCGGTACGCGTTTTTACAACAATGAGTAGTGAGCCATGAATTCCCGGATTCATAATCCGGCACGCTAACTACTACGTCACGTTCAGCTCTATTAGGGTTAGTAAGAAGGGAAAAAAAAGCGTTAGATTAAGTTACGTAGAAGGGTATATTCTGCACGTCAGCAACTGGTTGGTTTATCTGTTTTACATACACTAGTCTAACCTTATATTCTGCACGTCAGCAACTGGTTGGTTTCAGTTAGACTCGTTTATGTAAAACATTATATTCTGCACGTCAGCAACTGGTTGGTTTCGGTTAGACTAGTGTATGTAAAACATTATATTCTGCACGTCAGTAACTGGTTGGTTTCGGTTAGACTCGTTTATGTAAAACAGTATATTCTGCACGTCAGCAACTGGTTGGTTTCGGTTAGACTCGTTTATGTAAAACAGATTATATTCTGCGCGTCAGCAACTGGTTGGTTTCAGTTAGACTCGTTTATGTAAACAGAGTATATTCTGCACGTCAGCAACTGGTTGGTTTCAGTTAGACTCGTTTATGTAAAACATTATATTCTGTGCGTCAGCAACTGGTCAGTTTCGGTTAGACACGTTTATGTAAAACAGAGTATATTCTGCACGTCAGCAACTGGTCAGTTTCGGTTAGACACGTTTATGTAAAACAGAGTATATTCTGCACGTCAGCAACTGGTTGGTTTCAGTTAGACTCGTTTATGTAAAACATTATATTCTGCGCGTCAGCTTTGAATAGGTTAAGTATAAAGATTGTACAGGTTAAGATCCACTTTTTTACTTTTAAGGCATATTGAGCTCTACTGTGTAAGCTTATCGTACAAACTAATACACTGTATACACGTCAATGCTTAATTCATTTAACACATTGCTTATAATCATACAGATATAGGGTTTATATTTTGTACTGTCGCCTTGATTACATACATAATAAACAAGAAAAAAAAAGATTTTCAGTCAGTTGACATCATTTCAAAACACTTGCCTCAATGATCAGTAAAAACCCTGAAAACTCTAAAGTGAGTGTGGCTTTCCATCGTATGAAGGCAATGCTGCGTCGAAACAAAACTCAACTCCCGTTATAGGCATTTGCTTGCCGATTTCATAATTTTTACATATTTATTTGCTATGTAACAGATTCTATTAGATTCTGAAACATTAAGGCAGTTGGAGTAAAATTATACATGCTTGACATATACAGACCTAATTCAGAAAGTAAGAATGACCCATATTATTATATTAGTTCGAGATATAGAAAAAAAAGTTTGCTTAGGACTTTTTTTTTTTTTAATTACTTTCATACGTACAAAAAATACGTAGTAAAAATTTGCATGATTTTCTACACTTACTCCAAAGCAAGCAGAGTTACTTACCTGGATATGACAGTTCACTGTATGTTGTGTACGACCCCGATAGCTCCATAACCCTTCGGTTACCTCTGGTATATCGGGTGGATACCAAAGTGGAGGTTCACCTTCTGCGTGGAACCATATATATAAAAAGCCATTTTTCTCACAGACAGGCCAAGACTTGGTTTTGATAAAATCAGGAACTGTAGAATAAACACAAGGCAGCAAAATTTAGAAACAGTGAAATCTTTACGTTTTCATCATTTCCAATACTTCGACCAAAGGATCACTTTTTTTTACTCCTTAATTGCATAATAATTGATACGTTGTTGTACATAAAACAAAATGAATGTGTTCATGATGTTTTACCAAGACTTCTGACAGTAGCGTCATCTATGTAAACGAATAACTTGCTCTAATTTAGGGCCTTTTTGAAGCAAAACCACGAAGAAATGCCAGCAAATATCTAAAACACATAATTAAACACCGATTATTAATGTTTATTATATACTTCAACGTTACTATACTGGGCAATACTAAACGTAGTATGAGACGATAACACTGGGCTTTAGAAAGTAACAGTTTCACAGCGACAGACAACCACAAATTTAAAACTGACACTTTTCTCACTTCAAATTTGAGTGGATTTTCACCCAGTGCGAGCTCTATTCCAATAGAAAATCTATATTTTTTCAGGGTTTATTTTACTTTCTGTCTATTGTGCAAGAGAAAGTAGATGGAAGAAACTAGCAGGAAATAGGTTTTTGTTTTTTCAAGCATGGCGAAGTAAGATTTAGCACATATTTATTTGTTGCATAAGAAAAAAATAAGCTGGTATAAGATAGTAATGAACGTCTTTTCAGGGCTTAACTATATTTATTTTACTTTCTGTCTACATATCTATCTTTATCTACGTGTCGCATAAAGAAAAATGGTTAAAAAAATATTACATTGAAAACAACGTGGACATTAAAAATTATAGGACCAAATGATGACAGGATTGAAATGGATTTAACTACGGGAACCCCAAAAAATGAGGTAACAGACTAGAAAACTATAATAGGAATTAGTAAGGATTGATTGGTTATTGATTTATTGACTAATACAGATACTAACCTTACTTATAGTCTTAGGCAGGCAGACACACAGTAGACATACCACGCGTACATCTAGCGTTTGGATATAAACACGCGTT